CCAAACAGAACCAGCTCATTCAATCGCTCTTCACACAGAACCTGATTGTTCCAGAACAAACAGGAACATGCTGTCATATTTACTTCTTGTTCTGTTTGTTTGTTCTGGATGTCGTGGCAGGAAGTTAATTAGAAGTTAATTGAACTTAATAGAAGGTTCTGTTTCATTCAGGGAACTTTACTACAGAAGCCCAAAGCGTTCATGAAAAGCCGGAGATGTTATCTCATGACTACGAGATGCGGATCTCCGTTATTAGTCGCGGCTGTTTGAGACGTCAGAGGCATGGAAACGTATATTTATTTATTTTAAAGATATTTTTTGGCCTTGTTAGACAGGACAGAGAGAGACACAAGAAAGTAGGGGAGAAGAACCTGCAGCAAAGGGCCATGAGCAGGACTCGAACCCATGACCTGCTGGGACTATAGCCCCTATATATGGGACGCCTGCTCAACCAGGTGAGCTCTAGCGGCGCCTTGGAAACGTATATTTTTAAGTGTTCCTGATCCATGTGCTGTGTCTGACCTTGTGTTCCGACCACGATGACGGGGATGTCGGACCGGTACGAGCTGAGCTGACTGTAGAGCTGGTAGAGCTCCTGGAAACTGGCCTCATTCTCCAGGCTGAAGACCAGGATCACGGCATCCACCCAGCTGCTGAACTGGAAGAGGAAGGAAATATGTCAGCGGTCTGAGGAAGAGCCTGATGCATGAAGAACAGTTTTCCCCCAAACACACGGCAAGAAGCACCTGTGCATCAGGAGGTCCGGGCTCCTCTCGGATCAGCAGCAAGTGACTCTGCCCGTCCACCAGAACCTCCTTCTTGTACCGTCCGCCTGACAGGGACAAGACAGGTTATTCAGGCTGCACTGAGCACGCTCAGACTCCTCCGTCTCAGTGTAAATGAGTTAAATGCTTTTTAAACGTGTGAATGTTTCCCACCGTCGGGTTTCTCCAGCGCAACATAACTGCCTGTGATGTATTTGTTCACCAGCGCCGACTTGCCGCTCTTTGGACTTCCCAGAATGCCCTGAGAGAAGAGGAGGGAAGGAAGCACGGCGAGTTCATTCAGAGCGAGGAGTGAGCGCACTTTCACACAATAAATATAACTCTCGGACTAAATAAAAATAAATTCAGACTCTCAGTTCCTCCATTGAACATGTTTGGTTCCGTCTAGCTTCCTCTCTGTCATGTGTTGATGTAAACACACAGTTAAAGGCAGAGGAAGGAAGTATTCTGACGGTGACGCGACATAAAAANTAGTGCAAACAGTTGGCAGAGACAGTGCAGACAGGAAGTGATTTAATGAGCCATTCGCAGTTTCACTGTTCAGGCCGTCTGTACTTAGACTTGCACGGCTTAATCTTTGAGACAAGCTGCTGGCAGGATGGACCGGGTCGCCCAAGAACTGTGTGGGTGGTTTATGATGTGATGGGAACCCAGATTAAAGTCCAAATTTTAGGTACTTTTTTTGAAGCTACTTGAATACATGTGAGATTTTTTTTTTTTTTTAATATGTATACACGTATATATATGTGTGTGTGTTAATTTTTTAAATAATTGCGTAATTTAAAACACTTTCTAATTTAATTTGATGTTGTTTTGCAAGTCTGTGACCATAAAATGAATGGAATGTTAAATACTGTAAAATATTAATATATAGTCAATCTTAAAATGCAGTAAAATTCCAGCATTACCTGATGAGAAATTTGTTTGACTAAAATCAGTTCTCAGCACTTATTTAATATTATTCATTCACAGCCAAATGTTAACCTAAAGCTAGTTTGAAGGCCGTCACTGGATTTTCAGGTAAAATTAGGAGATAATTTCTTCAGTGAGCTATAAATACACATCACATAAGTGCCCAACGTAACTCATTAATTTATGTATTTTATATTTAGCCATTGAGATTTGTTCTTCCAGGAAGTTCTGGTCAAAACGGCGTCAAGTAAATGTTGAATTTAGTTTTTTTAAAAAAGATCCGTCTCTCACTGAGTCAGACTGAAAATGAGAAGCGGATCTGTTCAACGAAAATGAGTTTCGTTTGGTTTGCTATTGTTCTGTCTGGTGGAAACTCCCACACAACACCTCTCTGAGCTAACTGCTGTGTGTTTGGACCCGGTGATGGACGGAGCTGCTACCTGTCCGGGGAACGACGCCGATCCGGGCGTGGAGCCTCCGGAGTGACTCGGCGAGTTGGGCAGAGATTTGCAGGCCTGAAGCGCCGCCTGCTTCTTCTGAGTTACGATCTTCTGAGCAGCTGGAAAACACACAAGCCGACCATCAGAGTCTGTTCACAGCATCTGTGGCGGAAGAACCTTTTGTTTTCTTGGCGAGTCTCGTCTTGGACGCCTTCTTTTCGTGAGCATTGGCAGCAGCAGCAGCGATGAAGTCTGACTCGACTCACCCTCGGAAAACACTCGGTCCACGTTGAAGCCGTAGGTGGCGCAGGTCTCGTAGAACAGCGAGTGACGGACGTCGATGCACAGCTGTCGGGCTCGCTGGTCCTCGATCACACGGGGGTTGGTGCTGCTGATTTTATCTGATAAACAAACAGGAGCAGTGAAGAGAAAGCTGCAAATCATGATGAAGCTCTGCTGCCAGAGCCTCAATAACAAGAATTAGATTAACTTTATAGA